CCGCCCCCCCCGCCCCCCGCGTCCCTCCCTCCCGCACACACCTCGAAAGAAATTAGAAACGTGACAACAAACTCCAGTTGTCGCAAACCCGCCACCAGCCATGCGCACTCTGCTGGTGGAGGGGGTGGGCCTCGGTGTGGGGGAGTAATTGGTGAACCCGAGGTGAATGAAATAATTGGAAAAGTGAGGTGTGAGTTTGTTACTGAAGTGTGAGCGTGGTTGGGGAGGGGTGCGGGGAGGAGGGCCATGTTTAAAAGCCCGCTATGTCCTCTTTATTCACAGCTTCTGATACAGTAATTGCTATTTTGTGGTTTCTATTATCTACACAGTGGGGAGCACACGCGTCTCCTTCCCCGAGCGGCGGAGTCTGGGCTCGAGGGGGAAGCTCCTGGGTGTCCTGTGATTTTCCTCCCTCCGTGGGCCCTGGTGGTCCTGCCCAGCCTCGCCCAGGTGGCGGCCTCTGCTCCCAGGAGTCGAGGGTTCACACCCAACTTCCTAACTGAGCCGCTCTTCAAAATGACTCTGTGGCCTTCGCTGTCAGATAAGAACCTTAATAATGGCTGGTATTTATATATCGCTTATCTCCAAGGAGCTAAAGGTACCTCATCGATTTTCCCCACCAACCTTTTCTTTTTTTTCCCATTCTAATTCTCTCTCGATACCTCTCTGAGATCCTCAGTTATCAGCCTTATGTTATCCCCACGGCTGTGTCGGAACCAAAGCTGTCCCCTTTCCTGGCATTGTCCTCGAGCCGGGAGGGCAAGCTCACCTGGGTCTGCGTCCCCGGCCATGGGACCTGGGCAGGTCACTTTGCCTCTCTGGGCTTCGGTTTTCTCGGTTGTAAGAACAGAGGCAGGTGTCGCACTGAGAAACAATATATTTGAAAGACCTAGCGTGTCGCGGGCGCTCGGTCATTGGTAGCTGGGGTGGGAGCCACGATGACGGTGTTTTGGTCCAAGCCGTTCACTTCGGGGCTTTGCAGTCCTCAGGAAGCTGCTTCTAAGATGTGACCCTAACCTTCCGGCCACTCTGCAAGCCCAGCTCTCTCTCGTCCTCTTCTCAGAGGGTAGGAGAAGCGTCGCCATCGCCGTTTCCCTGACCTCCGGAAGCATAACGAGATTTTGGAAGCGCCCAGGGTGTTGGGACACAGCATTTCATTCACCCTGCAGGTGTCGGCCTGAAAACCCCAGACAGCGGCCGTGACCTCCCCACGACTCCCCGGCTGCCTAGGACAGGATCCCAGCTCCCCGATCTTTGCCCGCAACCCCTCGTGGATCCAGGGCGCCCCTCTGTGACAGTTCCCCATGCTGCGCTCTCGAATGCCACTTCTCCGGGCCACGTTAGCACATCTCCTTCAGCCTCTCCTCATCAGCCTTTTTCTCCACCTTTTAATTATTTTCCTCGCCTTTCTCCGGACCCTTAGCTGCTTGCCATGCACGGAGCATCCACAGCGTGCAGAGCGCTGCAGAGGGGGAGGGATTCACCTCTCCGTCTCTCTCCCCCTCTCCCTCTCCTTCTCCCCCTCTTCACTCTCTCCCTCGCTCGCCTTCTCTCTCTGTCTCTCACGTGCTCGCACACACATAGACTGGCTCACTAGAAATTAGACAGGCTGAGAAGAAACCTGGGCAGAGGCCATTGAGACCATCAAGCAACACGGTTGTAATCGCGGTGGGCAGAGGCAGGAGGTTTGCACATGGAGTGGGTAGAAGGAACTAGGACTCAGCCTCCTTTGTCTTGGGCAAGTCACCGGACCCCTGAAGATGACGTGGTGCATTCCCAGCCACCTCCACATGCGCCATTCCTGGAGTGGGGCGTGGGGGTCAGAGAGCTTAACATCGGGCTCATCTGGATTCGCATTCTGGCCCTGCCACTTACTAGCGAGAACTGCTACCTCCCTGAGCCTCAGTTTCTTCATCCGTAAACTGGGGATGGTAAGGCTCACAATTAACATCTGTGCTGTTCGTATGCACCCACGGCCCGTTTCCCGTCTCCCTCATCACAGCCCTCCCTATAGGTGGAACATACCAGTGATCGTGTGTACATTCAGGGCTACCGTTGGCTTGTCGATTCATTCCAGAAATACTGTCAGGCGTCCACTCTGATCCAGGCACTGGGCTCCTTGCTGCAGTTCCCGTGACGAACAAACAGTCATGGTTTTTACTACCACAGAGCTGAGTTCCAGCCCCAGGGGAAGGCAGAGAGCTACACAGGCATCTCCATCACAGTGAGCCCTGACTGCCGGTAGGGCATCCAGCCCAGCCGAGGGCAGTGATCGGCACAGGCTGCCCAGGGCAGGCAGTGGTGAAGCCGAAGCCTGAAAGAACCTGGAGGCTGGGGCAGGGGTGGAGAGCAGACAGAGAGGCCAGCACACCCATAGGCTGTCTGCGACTGGGTACCTACAGTACCTAGCGTGGCCTGGACACGCCGGAGGTCTCACCAAGGCTCCCTGTGCCCGTCAGCCTTCCCACCGGATCTGAATGCTTGCAGACCCCAGTCCTCCAGGCCTTCAGATGCACCATTCCTGCCGTCCCTGTGGCTCTCTGAAGCACTCGGAGCCAAGGGACCATTTATCTGAAGGTGCCTGCAAGGAAACTCAACCATCCCTGCCCTCTCTGGGCAAGGCCAGCCCTGGCAGAGGCACGGGGACTTCCGTGGAGGAAGAGAGGCGGCGTGTCTGTCGTGGGACCCATCGGCCTTTAGGTGGCAGAATAAAGCAGGGTTTGCAGGCTTGACACCTCAGCTCTCCACCTCACCTTCTTGAATGTCCCCACCTGCCCAGCGTCTGGGCCCCAACCGGCCCCCTCCACATCTGCCAGGAAGACTGACAGGGCTCCACCGCCCATCCTGTCCAGCCCCTCCCCTCCCTGGGAGGCTGGCCTTGTCACCAGCAGCCCAGTTTCTGTCACCTGCTCAGAGAGGCGCCGGGAGGGGGGAGCGGAGCTGCCGGGGAGAGCTCCGTGCAGACGTGCAGATTCATTTTGAGGACTCATAATGCCGCATTTACACACCGTCCTGCCTTCAGAAATTGGGCTGGCAGATGCCTGGTCATGCTGGCAGGGCTGCAGGTTAACGCCTCGGATTTAGCTTATATCATTTCACGAGAGCTTACGGCCTTTACTGTGTTTTTTACCCAATCAGTCTTTGGCCCTGAAGCATCCTAGACCATCATGTGTACGTGTGTGTGCCCAGGCGCCCGCGAGTATGTGTAGATTTTCAAATAAACTAACACCTCTCTTCGGATGCCGTGCACATTAAATATTTATCGGTAGCAATTTGCACGCGTGTATGTGATAAATGGACGCTAGGGTGAGGTGGGGGGCACGGGCACGAGGCGGGGAGGCAAGCGAGGCCCGGTCCTTTTGTCCGAGAATCTCTCTGAGGTTTATCCGGGAGGAGGAGGGTGGGGGTCTGAGCTGTGTTTACCTGTTTGATCCCTGTCAGGCGGAGCCGAGCCATTTCCTTCTCCAGAGCTTTGCCCGACTTTGGCTTGGCAGAGGAAGCCCAGAAGGAGGGGAAGAGGGGCTTAGAGGGAGTCGCGTGTGTCATTAGAGCACTGACGATGATCCAGCCTGAGCCCCAGGTCTGGGCCCAGGAGAGGGGCCCGTCCTGCTGGTTCGGCACAGCGCTCCACCGTGGGGGCGGATTCAGGTCGGGGGACCCCGCCGATCCCGAGTCCGGAGCCCCGGCTGGCACACACCAGCAGCCCCGCGCCTTCCCCGCCTGGCCACACGCGTACAAGACTGGACACCCTGCCAAATAACACTGACCCCACGGGCTGGGGGAGGACGAGTGTGCCAGCCAGCCAGAGAGGAACTGGAAATTCTCCATCAGCGTCTCCAACACGAGCGTCCCCTCCGCGCGCAGCGTGCAGCCAGGGCCTGAAGGAGAAGGCCGCTCACGCCCCCAAGCAGGCGCTGGCCATCCGGAGCCGACACGAGTGTGTGCGCACGCGTATGTGCGCACGCGCCCCTGTTGCGCGTCCC